GTGTCATGAATAACCTAAAAACACTTTCGGAAGCCATCAAGATTTAAGGATCATTTCCCTCCTTGGGAGTGGCTCCAGGGCTGTTTGCATTTGTGGGGATACTGCCCAATTCCTTCTGAGTTCTGAGGTCAGTTATGCTTAAAGATGCACATGAAAATAGAAATATACTCCTTGGTGAGGTCCGAGAAAACCAAATTAAGTCATTGATTAATTTCATCCTGTCCAGTCGCTCCTTCACCCTCTGTAGCTACTTAAAAAAAATAAATGTATTCAGCTTGTCGCAAATTTTAGTTTATATCTCCACCTAGTAGCATTTCACATTCTGCTTAAGTACTTGGTCATCTATTACATGACTCATTAGTTTGAGTTCTCTGTAGAATTAAAGAACGTTGCAGTAAAAATAATAAATGGAAGCTAAGTTTCAACTATATCATCCATGCATGTTTTAAAAGCATCTTGCAAAGTCAGTTCAAACTCATATACAATGCCAGGGATTAGCACACCATCAACTTCTTTGCTAAACTTTTTTCCTTGCCCCATTACATTGAAGTGCTGATGAGTAAAATGGCAAATGTTTCTCTTTACTGGGATTCAAATCAAAGTGTGTAAAACTGGATCAGATAAAGACTTCTTCCCAGGAAGTACCCAGGGGCTATCTTATATAAAACTCTATTCAGGGGTACTTCCATTTTTCCTTTAAACACAATTTTTAGTCACCAGTTGTAGTCAGTTTAATGAAGTTAAGGTTTCCTGACTCCATGTCTTAAGAAAAAGTTGAAGTTCCTAACTGCGGAATCTTCCAAAGAGATGTGACAATGCTTCCTGGAGATTTATTTGAACAATTCCACTTACAGATTATGCAAATGCTATGGAGTGCACTATGGGTACACTATCGGGTCAGAAAAATCAGAGGAATAGTTTTAATAGGAAAAGGAAACTTGACTGAAAGTCATTCATCTTCCAAATAAAAATATTTTGTTTTCACTGAATACATGTCATTAGATTGAAAAGCATTTTCCACTATTTCCTACCCTCCTAGAGAAGCCAACAGAGATCATGGATTTTAGCTGAAGGGAAGGCTACCCCGCCCTCCACCCCACCTCACGGGTTTTGGAGTCAGGTAGACCTGGTTTGAATTCCAGGGTTATCTGTAAACTGTCTGATAAATTTCTTAAGGTATCTGAGCCTCTATCTCCTCATCTTTACAATGGGGATAATACTATTTACCTTGTGAATTGTGAAGATTAGAGATACCCTGTGTAAAATATCGAACACAGTGTACAGCACACAGTAGACACTAAGTAAGTTAGAGCTATGGTTATTTTAATACATTAGAGCTGGGAGGGAGATCATCCCAAGCCCTTCAGTTTACAACTGAGCAATCTCAGGACCCAGTGTGTATATGACTAGCCCAATGTAACAAAACTAGTCAATGGCATCATTAAGTCTATTTCAGCGTTCAGGGAGGTACGGTGACTTTCCAAGAAACAGTGGCGCTACATGGATGGAACACGAAAGCCTAGGCTCCCTAACCCAATATTCATCACAATTTGCTGCCATTTCTCAAAAAAAAAAAAAAAAAAAAAAATCCCATGGCTTCTGACCTTTTTTTTTTTTTTTCCTGACCTTTTGCTGACTGGTTTTAATCCCATTTGATAATTTATTCCAACGTTAGGACAAATGATCTCAAAAGCAAATTTTATTTCATCCTATTTTTAGAATAGATTCAGAAAATAAATGAGCTGTCTTGCAGATTAACATTTATTTGACTTACCTTGCATAATTAAGGACATGCTGGAGAGCCTGCCTGTAATTGCAATACGTTGCTTGTTAAAGTCTTAGAGCGAGCTCTCTTTCCTAACCTAGCAATGATACTCCCTAGATGTACCTTTCCATTTTCTACTGATCTACAGCTTTTCTTTATTAGCTTCTAGGTGGAGAGAAAAATCAAACCTCTCCTTCAAGAAATCCATTAAACATTTGCTGTCTTCTAAGGGGGAAGGATGAAGGAGCTGATGTTCATGGTAGCTGTAAAGCCAAAAAACAAACAAATTGGGCTTTCTTGAGAGATAAAGAACCTGCAGGAGAACCTCAAAGACATAATTAGCGACACTCTCCTCTCAATACGCCCACCGCCCACCGTGCCCTAATGACTTCCTGCATATTTCCTTCCTCTACGGAAGTCTATGCAATTGCCCTGCAGCATTCCATGGAAGTCTATGCAATTGCCCTGCAGCATTCCATATAACGAGAACCTCACTTCTGATTCACTGCCAAGGGTAAGTGCTGTCTAGATTCAGTGTGGAGATAGGTGCCCTAGCTAGGCACCTCAGTGTTCTGACCAGCATTTTCAGATCAACCGATGTGTGGACATAGGTTCTGCCATCTGAGTGATTTCGAAGATCACTAACAGGGACCTCAAACACTGTGAATATGGTTGAAGGAGGTGTGATGGACACTTAGTGTGAGTCACACATTCCCTCCCTTTTAACATCCTCATTCACTCACTACATCAGAGCAGATGTTGCCAACAGCAGCTTTAGTACATTATGTGAAAGCTGTCTTGGATGGATTAGACATTCAGCTGTCTGAAGACTGGGCCAGCTGTTCTTAGGGCCCCTTACTGCTTTGGGATGAATAAAGTGTACCAGATTACTGTAAAAGCCACGCTCAGATAGAAGGTTGCGTAAGTCAAGCCAAAGGAAAATGCGCTACTAGCTATGACAAGAAGAAAAACTTAGTTTAATGTTAACTTTAATGGATATATAAATTTTGGCACTCTCATTACTGACGTTTCCAGAGTTCATGTAAATCCTGCTCATCAGGACTCTATTATTGCTGCTTTCCAAGCCCCACCCCCCCGCCAAAAAAAAAAAAAAAAAAAAGCAGAGCTGCAGTGAGCCAATTATTTGCTTTATTTGGAAAAGCTGACATTCATCCTCTGTGTGGCAGGTTGAATGTGGTAGGTGAGATGAGTGGTTTTCACACCAGCAGCAACTCAGGAGGGTGGTAATTTCAGGCACAATACAAGCTTGATTCCTCCCTATTTCTCATGCAGAAATCCTTATAATACCTGTAAGCGTTTTAAACCTGTGTAAAAGGTGGGACCCAGCCTGACGTATTTCCTTGAAAGATGAGCTGATTATATGTTGCACCTGAGTTACGCATTCACTCATCAAATATTTATTGCGGACCTACTATGTGTAAGGATGGAGCACAGGTACAAGAGGAAAGAAGAAACATTCCCAAACACTTTACCGTGATACTTATGGGTGGGGACGCTTATGTTCCCTTAGGGAAAAAAGGTCATCCCCTTTAAGTGCCATTGAAATTCCTCTTAGGAATACTTGCGTATGGATAAGAGTTACCTAATTGGTCAATTACACAAGAAGCATGTTTAGTGGATCTCATACTGTGCAAGATATTGCTGAGGAGGTGGGGAAGAGTCAAAAGAAATATTAGATATAGTTTCTCATCTCAAGCAGCTCACTTTGGTAATAAAAAGCACTCCATTCATGAAAGGACTGGAAAGTAAAAGAAGGCAAAATATAATCAGGTGCTAACCGGGTAGTGGAGACACGCTTAAAGAAATTCAGATTTAATGGGCTGGGTTAGCCAGAGGGGCTTTATGAAAGACACATGCCTTGAGTATGGCGTCGAAGACAGGGAAGGCTTTAAACTCCGATTGTAGTTGAAATTTAATCCCCATATGGCAAATGTCAAATAGCTGAAGAGTAACCTCTTAATATTTGAAATAGTAAGTTGACCATCTAACAAATTAAACGCATTGACCTCACTGTATTTTTTGGCATGGAAAGGTGTTCATAATACATTACGTATGAAAAGCAGATTACAGAACAGCATTCTATAATATGATTCCATTATTAGAGAATAAAATATATGATATGCACAGAAAAAAGTCTAGAAGGATATACACTAAAATGTTAACAGTGGTTTTCTAGATGTGGTAGGATTATGCGTGACCTCAATTAAAAACATTTTTTGTGTTCTCTCTTTTCTAATTTTTCTGCAACAATTGTGTATTATTTGTGTAATAGTTAAAAAGAAAAAACACATTGGGTTCTTAAAACCCAGTACAATGAATACTTCATAAAACCTGCTGAAATAAAAGCACACATTCCATTCTTGGAGAAGGAACAGAGAAGAATGATTAAATAATTAAGGAGATAGGGTGGATGATACATGACGACAGACTTAAAAGTTGACTATCCTTCAGCTTAGTGGCCTAAGATGGGAATATGATCCAAGTCTATAAAATCATGAAGCTGACTGGGAGAACACGTTTATTTACAAATCCCAGGCAACAGAATTGAGGGTTGGCCCTTAAAGGTTGAGAAGCTGAATTTAGAAAAAAATAATAGTAAGGCTGAGCTCTCACAGAAGGCCAAAAAAAAAAAAAAAAAAAAAATGGAATTTGTTATACTAGGGGTGATATAAATTGAAAATATAAATAGCTTCAAGAATGATTTAGATAAATTAATGGAAGATAGGTTCATTAAAGGTTGGTTGTTAAGGAAAAGCCAGGAATGTCTAAAGTCTGTGAGATACTCAATATATTTGAAAGCGGTAGAAGGTGGCACAGACCTGATCCCCAAACCAGTGCAGGCCACAGTGCTAAAGCCTTCCTCCTGGAGGCTCTCTGCTGGCCAGGAGTTAACCCTTTAGTTTTTGGACTATTGGGAGTTTCCAGGAAGGAGATCATGGGGAGAGGCTGGGGTGTCCGGGAGGCAGAGGGTTCTGGGCAATAACTATTTATCAACCAGAAAAGAAGCATTCCAATATTTTAATAACAGTTATGACTATACTAATGCATACTGGCTAAAAATTAGTCCTGGGTGTGCCTATCTTCCGAGATAGACTTCAGAGATGATGTCTGTCAGAGGTACATTAGGACGGATGGCCTACAGTGTGATAACAATCTTAGGATTCTGCGAAGTCAAATGAAACCTTTAGATGACCAAAGGATTTTTTATTTTTACCTCGAGGGCTGTTCAGTGAAGCTTCCGATGCTCTCCCTCCATCTCCACAGTGACTCTGGTCAAAGGGAAGGCACTGATCTCCTGTTCCTGCCACCACTTCAAAATTCTTGGACAAGTCTTTTGTTTCCACAAGAGACTTCAACTTGTAGACTCTTCGGGTATTGGTGTCTGATAGATAAAGTGATTCAGACACAGGGTCCATAGCCAGATAGTATTTGTGAGCAGGACTTGTGCTAAGGAAGAGAAAAGCAAAGTTATTCAAAGCAATTTGTTCAGCATACACTCCCTGGGGTCTGCCTTTTGTCACAAATGGAAAATTCTCTTAAGAGATAAAAGAATTAATGTATCTTCCTTATGTACCGAGGCGATAGGTACCTCTTTGTTTCTCTAGTAATGGGTCTGGGATTAAAAAATAATTCAGTGCTAACCTGTAATGTTCCTGATATTCCAATACCGTCCATTTGGGGGTAGAGAAAGAAGCAGAAGATAGAAAATCCCAGGAGATCCTTTTTCTCATACATACCTTTCATACCCCCCTCAGTTCTCCAGTTACCTACTAGATGACTGCCTGGATGTCTAAGTCACCTCAAACTCAACAAATCCAAAACAGAAGTTATTCTCTTCCTGCCTTCCCCATCCTTCAAAAACCTACTTCTTGTCTTCTGGGCTTCCTGCCTCACTTGCAGTCACTACTGTCCTCCCAGGGTCCTGTTGGAAATCGAAAGGCATGTACAAAAAGTGAGGATTGTGTCTTAGGGAGGGCTGTGTTGGAGATACTCTTCCACTCCAAGCTTCCTTTTGTTAGCTGACCACCATACTTCTCTAATACACTTTTTCTTTTTCAGGACATAATAGAAGTGATCATATTTGACCTTGTTTTGGTTATAATTACAATCATCCATACCTCCAAAAGGTGACACTCAAGTTACCTTGATTGGATTTTGGTATTCCTGAAACTCTTCAGTTACATATTTTACATAGGATCTTGTGTTATTTTTATCTGAATACATGGCTGAGTTCATTCATTAGTTTTGACTATTCCTAATATCATTTTTCCAATAGCTGCAGGAACTTTGGTTTGGGGGACATTTTGCTTGAACTTAAGGTTCATGTACCGCTGATATCATCCAAGCTCCCAACATGGAAGTCTAACCCTTACTCTCCCCTTTTCTCTCCACATTGTGCCTAAAAGCAAGCTTTCAGAAGCTTTGTCCCTCCTGCCATCACATTAGTTCTAACTCTTATCATCTGTGGCCTGGAATATTTTCTATAGTCCTGCCCATAGGAGGTGCTTTTGAAATCTTAAATCCATTTTTCCCCCATACTGACGACTCCAGGGTTATTCTGATCATTTGGTTCCTATCTTTAAAAACTGTACAAACTTTTAAATGTTCCTTAGTGTGGTGCACATTCCTTTCTTCACTTAGTAATTAATTCTCTTTAACCTTTATAAGGCTTTACTCAGGCATCATCTTCTGAAGAAAGCCTTCCGGAAATGTCTAGACTCGGTTATTTGCACTATGCTCACCTCTGTTCTCGGGGATCACACATCATGTTACTTTTTAAAAAATGTATTGGTATATGCCCCAGTAAACCATGAGAGCTTGGAGGAGGGCAATCTTGTCTTATCTCTGACGTGCTCACTGCACAGCACTCTGCCTCACACCCAATGGTCTAAGCCAGAAACCAGAAGCCATTCTTTACTGCTCCTTCTTTCCGCCATTCCCCATATCTAGTAAAACATCATTAAAAAAAAAATTCTACCTCCTAAACTCTTTCCAAGCTGCCCACTTCTCTTTATCTCCACCGTCATTAGTCCTGACATCTCTCAGCTGCACTCCTTGCTTGGTAATACCATTTCTGTATTGTGGATTTATTCATCAAGTCATTCAGAAGTATTTACTAAGTGCAAACAATGTGCCAAGGAACTGTGCTATGGTCTGGATACCTACCTGTGTGCCCAATACAGCCCCTTGCTGCATGAAACTCACAGTCTAGTGGGGGAGTCAGATCAGTAAATAGGCTATGACTGTCATATATCCAAGTGTTACAACAGAAGTAGAAAGGGAGAGAAATGAGCAGATAGGAGGGACACGTGACCTAGCAGCAGCTATCACATTGTATTAGCATTATTGTTTTAAATTATGAAGTCCATACTTTACTCATATTTCCTTAGTTTTTAATTAATATCCTTTTTCTGTTTCAGGATTCCACCTAGGATACCAAGTTATATTTAGTCTTCGTCTCCTTAGGCTCCCCTGGGCTGTGACAGTTTCTTAGACTGCCCTTGTTTTTGATGACCCTGATAGTTTTAAGGAGTACAGGTCAGATATTTCGTAGGATGCCCCCACGGCAACGTGTCTGATTTTTCTTTTTTCTCATAGTTAGACAGCGATTACAGGTTTTGGGGAGGAAGACCACAAGGGTAAAGTGCCATATTCTCATCCAATCAAATCAAGGGTAGTAATATCAACATGACTTACTGTTGATGTTGACCTCGATCGCCTGGCTGAGGTAGTGTTTGTCAAGTTTCTCCTCTGCAAATTTACTTTCTCTCTTACTTTCCACATTGTATTCTTTGGAAGGAAGTCATTCTGCCAAGGCAACACTTAAGGAGCAGGGAGTTACACTCCACCTCCTTGAGGGTCGAGTAGCTACATAAATTATTTGGACTTCTTCTGCATGAGAACCTTATCTTTTCTCCTCCATTTATTTATGAACTCAACCATTTATTTATATCAGTATGGACTCATGGATATTTGCTTTACACTTTGCGTTCAACTCCAATGTGACTTTATTTTGTTGCTCAAATTGTTCCAGCTTCAGCCATTGGGAGCTCTTTCTGTGGGCTTACGTGCCCCTCATAAGCCCCCATCAGTGTCGGTGCGTTTTGGTTTTGGTTTTTTTGAGCACTTCCTTACTTTCTGGAAGTACAAGATGTTGCAGGCTCATCTTGTATAATCCCTGCTCCAGGACTAGAACGAATCATTTCTCCAAGGACCCCTGGTTCCTTTCACTGAAGAATGGTATTAGAAACTGAGATCTGAGTGCTGGGTGTAAGCACTATTTTTTCCACATCTCTCTCTCTCTCCAGCTACACTGTGAACTCTTTGCAGGCAAGAACCTTATTCCCCTCTCTACCTCAGTGCCAACAGAGGGTCTGACAGGGTTGATGTTCAGGAAGTGCTGAACTGAACTGTAGGACATGAAACTAACTAAGACATAGAGGAGTTCGGGCCTTGGCTCCTTAGCCAAGCAAAATGGAGGGGAGAAGGTCATTAGGATAATTAAGATACTCTTAAGGACTGGCATGTTCCTGATTGTATTTGTAATTGCATTTGCCCTCTAAGCATATTTATATTAATGATAGTGAGGCTGGAAAATACTGATTTGAGACCCAGTTTATGGTTTTAATTGGAAAAAAATCAAATCCAATCGGAATACTTGATTTTTTTCTACTTACCTTCATCAAATAAGAGAATCCGGTAGATTCCAGGGACATCTTCAACCCTGGAACCACCATGACAGCTGCTGTAAATAAACTGTAAAGGGTCCCAACAGATTCCAGAATTGATTTGGCAGTCATATCAGACAAAGCATCTCTGTAGCAAAGACTGCTTAAATAGGGGTTTGAGTAAAAGTTTTGACATATTTACTTGCACTTTTTGCCTTCAGAATAAAATTTTTCCAGTGCCCTTAGATCTTTCTAGAATACAGAAGGGGTCACAACCCTTCCCTGAAACAACCTTCAATACTTTGGTAGCCAGTCTGTGGAAGTTTCAACTGAGCCAGATCAATCATGTTTTGTTTAGGAAAAGTCCATAGGCTATTTTTCCAAGAGAAATGTTATTTGCACAAAAGCACTTTGGAATGCATTCCATTCATTTATTATTGAATAACCCCTATGTGCCTGTGAGGGAAGTTGGAATTATCATTCTTCTCAAACCTCAGCTGGGGAAACCCAGACACACCGAAGGCTCGCCCAAGGTCACCAACAAGCCTGTGCTTGGACTAATATAAGATTAGATCATATGTGACTGTGTATGCAAAATAAATACCTACAAGAATAGTCTTGTTCTGAAAGCGGCAAAAAAAAAAAAAAAAAAAAAAAAAAAAAAAGGGTT